TTCAGAGATGGAGAAGGAACGAACTTCTAAGGGGTCTTGCAATTCCTGGTCTGAGGCGTTCCTAACGCATCCCGGGACCCCAATGTCAGCGAGAGGCCTGCAGGACCCCAGCGGTGGGGAGTTGGGTCCTGGGTCACCTTGTGTTTCGCAGCGTGGGGATGGCAGGAGCGCAGCGCGGGAGGACACTTTCATTGCCTCCTACAGTGAGAAATGACCCCCACCCGAGGCTGCGCTAATCTGTGTCCCCGCTGCTGCCGAGGCTCTGGGATCCACTTGCGCGCCCTACGTGGTGGGGATCCGCTCAGAGCCCAGCGTCAAGTTATACTTCGCTCAGCGTCAGCCAAGACCAGAGAAGCACTTCTTGCCGTTTAGGAGACGTCTGCAAGAGACAAAGAGCTAGTCCACGATCCACCCACGATCCTCGTGTCCCCGGGGTGCCCTTGCAGTTGCCAAATCTACGTGCCGCGTTTAGGGGACGCCTCCGCGCCCTGGTGGCCAGAGGAATGGCTCCCTCCAGCTTCCCCCTCCTGGATACCATCTGCAAATCTACGGCCATAGGCGCAGCCCCAGCGAGCGTTCCCGCCCCAGGCCGCCCCCAGGAGTCGTTTTGGGTCCCTAAATCCGTTGAGGGTTCCGAATCTGTCTTCATCAGCCAGGATTACCCGGGATTTAACTAATCAATAAAGGTTTTTCCGCTCATTATTTTCTAGGGAAGATCTCCAGCCCCTCTGTCGCCGACCGCGAATGTGCCTTGGCAGCGCCAGGCTGAGGTTGGACCGGCTGTGGGTGGCTCAGCAGACACCCCTTTTGGGCTTCTCAGAGCCGCAGCTGCCCAGGCTGGCGGGATAAAGTGCTCAGACACAATGGGATGGGATGCCGGAGAAGGTGAAACGGATCGCCCTGTGCGTCTGTGAAAATGACGCCCCACAGCTCTGTTCTTCTGATTTTCCTCCCACCTCTGGCTGCTCCATCTCGGATGCTTTTGTGTCTTCAGTTAAAAGTTGTAGCAGACGCTGTTTGGCCCTGCCCACCTCCAGCCTGACCCCTCCACCTGCACGCCTGCCCAGCCTCCAGTGCCCGCCACATCTTTACCTAGGGACTTTTCCCGACCTTCAGAGCTCACTCTGCCCAGTAGCCAAAGGTGCCAATAATTAACACGTGGAGATATACGGGACCAAACACTGACGGGAATTGCGGTGTAAGCACCACCCCCCACCCCCCGACACACACCCCCCTGCACAGAGTGACTCTTAGAGGCGCCTTCTACTCCGCCTCCCAGAGATCCGAGCAGGAGGAGCTTTAGTTGATTGCATTCCTTATTGCCTCCTATATAAATGCTGTTGTGCCGACCGAGACTCCCTTTCCAGAACTGTCGCACCTTCTTTCATCTGCTGTGAGTGTGGGACCCTCGAATAGGAAGAATTGCCCTCGGCTGACAAAGGCCCCTTAATCCAGAGCCCCCCACCCCCTGACAAACACACACACTGTGTCATCAACAGAGGAATGATACGAGGTCTCTCCTCTTGTTTCAAAGGACAGCTCTGCAGAGGCATTTCTGCTCCAAGCCCCTCTCCCTTCATGGATCAGACCAAGTCAGCTCCTTGCTCAGCTTGTTCCCATCCCATCTTGGCCCCTCATTCCTGAGACCTTGTCTCAATATTTCTCAGGCACCCAGACCCCTCCCTGGCTCTGCTTCTAGGAACTTGAGCTCAGACACTTCCTGTCTCCATCTTGCTTTTACCTGGGTGTTCCTGGAATACTCAGCTCAAAGTCTACAGAGCCCTTCTTTCTCCTCAGGTGGAACTCCACAGGGCAATCACCCTCTCCCTGCCCAGACCTCCGGAATCTTCTCCAATCTGGACCCCACTCCCAAAGCCCAGGCTGCTGTCTCAACGTACTCCTGCATGTCTGACCCAGTCTCCTGGGGCGCTGAAATGCAGCACGCTCAGAGCTGAACACAGCAGCCTCCCCTGCAGCCTGCACCTCCCCAGGTCTCCTCTTCCCCCACCCCGGGGCCCACACAGAATGGAGCGTCATCCTCAGCCCCTCACTCTCCCCACAGGCTCTCCTCCCAGGACTGAAAGTGATGGCGATGGCCGACCTCTCTTGGCTTCTTACTGGGGGCAGCTATTATTATAAACACCTTGTCACAGTGGCCACATTTCATCCTGACCACAGCTCTATGGGTAGATAATATTATTGTCCACATCCTTCAGATGAGGAAGTGAAAATTTCAAGTGATCGAATAATTGCATAAATTGCCCGAGGTCACTCACTATCCAGTGGCAAAGATAGGATGTGAATATAAGCAGTGAGAGCTCACAGCCTAACTCTGACTCTGGGTGACTTGCCGCCCTGCATCCCTCTTCAGATCCTCTCAAAGTGGCGTCTTCTCTCCTTTGCCTGCTCTGATTTGACTGTGTGCCCTGAAGTTCATTTGTTGCACCTTAATCTCCAATGCAGCAGTGTTGAGAGGTGGAGGCTTTAGCGGGTGATTAGGTCAGGAGGGCTCTGCCCTGAGGAGTGGATCGATACCATTGTTGCGGGAGTGGGTTAGTTATTGTGGGAATGGGTTAGTTATCATGAGCGTGGGTTAGTGACCACAGGAGTGGGCACATGAGTTTGGCCCCTTCCTGCCCCCTCTTCTGCTCTCTCTTCCTCTCTCACCATGTGACACCTTCCACCATGTGATGTGGCAGCAAGAAGGCCCTCCCCTGATGTGGTCCTTTGACCTTGAACTTCTTTCCAGTCTCCAAACCATGAGCCAAATAAAAGTGGTTTGTTTATGAATTACGCAGTCTGTGGTATTCTGTTATCGTAGCACAGAACAGACCATGACACTACCCATTGCCACAGGATGGTTCAGACCAGTTGCTCACTTGCTGGAGTGGAATTTATTTTTTAATCTAGGGCTATTCAGTATACAAATGAGTTTCAGAGTACCCTAAAGAGGTGGCTTCTAAAAAACAAAAACAAAAACACAAAACAGCAGGTAAAGTCCTCCTTGTCCCACTCCTTGGCAGTTCTGTGACCTTGACCCAGGGACACAGGGAGAGGGAGGATTTTCTGCAGCAGCGATGGTGGGTGTCCCGTGGCTACCCTGCATGCTATGGCATGCTCACTGCTGCGCCCTGTGGTGATTTGGTCTTGTTCCCAGGTTCCTGGGCTGCACATCCCTGTCCTTCCTCTGCAGCTGCCCATCAGTCTGGGTAGGGAAGTGTACAGGGGAGAAATAATGCCATTCAGTAAGGCTATTTTCTGTGTAAATTGGCTGGATGACATTTCTGTGATTTGCATCCAATAACCCTGTCTAGGATGTATGGCCAGGGCTCTGCCCTCTGGAATCTCCACCTACCTCCTTCATGCCCCTCCCTGTACCCCACCACAGCCATCTTTATTCCACAGCCACAGTGATCCTTACTTAAGCACAGCCTATTGCTCCCTACTGCAAATTCCTCAGTGGCTTCCCCTTGCCACGTGGGCAATGCTGACTCCTAACTCCTTCCTGCTAGTGACTGAAGAAGCGATGGTATCACATGCCCAGCACGTCAGTGAACAAGTGGGCTCTCGAGAGTCAGTAATCCGGTATATGCTATAAAACTAACCCAGGGTGCTGGGATCAGGGTTGCCCATCCTCTCATCAGCCCCATGAGAGCATCAACCCCCGAGTTCCCTTTCTTGGCTGGATGTTCTGGTTACTATTTTAAGGTAACACATTATCCCAAAACTTAGCTACTTAAAATAAATGATTTCATTTTGGTCACAGTTTTGTGGCTGAAAAATCTGGGGAGAGCTCAGCAGGCCGTTATCACTTAGAGCCCTCCCGTGGTTGCTGACTGAGACTGCAGTCATCTGAGGGCTCAACAGGGCTGGGCTGGGTGCTCAAGGCAGTTCGCTCACATGGCCCAGGCTGATAGGCCTCGTGGGCTCTTGAGGGGAGTTGGGAGCATCCCATAAGAACCAGGCAGACGCTGCACGGCCTTTCCTGGCCCTTTCACAGAAGTCAGAGCATTACTTCCATCACGTTCAATCAGCGAGGCCATAGTGTGACTTTTGGGGAAATGGCACTTTTGCTTTCATGGGCTCCTTCTTCTATAAAAATATTTAAAGGTATATTTTGTGCCTGTGTTGGTATAAAGGTGAATATAATCCAGTCTAGATTCATTGTTGTATATTCTTTATTATTGTATTCATTTTTCCTTCTGATTTTAAAATGTATTCAAGGGCATTAGAAGCATAGGTCCTGGGCATTGTACCCAGGGTATTAGTGTGCACTGGCCTTGATGACTGGTCTAAGCAGCCACAAGCCACCATATTCAAGGATGAAACACAGATTCAAGGTGGGACACAGGACCCACCACATCGCACTTGCAGGGCCAGCACCAAGCAGTGCTCAGCCATCCATCAACGCCCAGTGCAAATGGTTCCTCACCGCAGGGCCTCCCCAGGTTTTCCTGCCCCAGCTGGAACAAAATCACTGCTGCACTCTTAAAGCACTTCATGGTCCTTTGGTCTTATTGCCTGATTCTTAAGCTTTTTTCATTAACACATCCCCTGGACAAATGTTCTTTACCTTTCAGGACAGTGGCTTCGCCGGTGGTCTCCGGAAGAGGCCTCCTTACTATGTGCCAGTGGTTCTCAAAGTGTGGTTCCCAAAAGTGGTTCTGGCCATCTGGGCACTGGCCAGAAAAACAAACTCTAGGACCCCACCCAGACCTCCGACATCAGAGACCTTGGGGAGATCCAAGATCTGTGTGTTCACAAGTCCCCCAGGGGACCCTGAGCCCCACTCAAGTTTGAGAACCACATCTTCTATTAATGCTTCATGAACCATGTATCCTGACTGGTTTCACAAATATGTTCTGGGTGCAGAAACACACAGTTATTCTCAAATGCTCTGAGGAGCTATGAGGAAAGCTTGAGTTCAGCACTAGGATAATAGTCAGCACCAGACATGAGCTTAGGGAATCAGGAAATTGAGGTTCCAAAAGGAGAAGGAAAAAAAGAAAAGAGAAAATTTTATTTTAAAATGTTACATATCAAAAAATACATTCGTGGGAAAACTCACAGCCACTACCGGTGGGGCCCTTGGTCTGTGCCAGGCACTGCAGGGCTTCACAAGAACCCGTTCACTTAGCACTTGTGATAGCTCTGATGAGGGAGGTCCTGTATTGTCCCCATTCTGTGGGTGAGAAAACCAAGGCCCAAGAGCTGGGACCAGCCCAACAGCCAGGGGAGCGGTCAGGACCCGAATCCTGATGGTCAGGCTGGAAGCAGCGAAATCTCCACGGGGCGTGATCTGTGGCTTAACCTTGGTTTTGTTATTCATGTTGCAGCGCTTGGGATCTAGAGAGGTCTGACTCTTAAGCTGTTCCAACTGCTGTAGATGCATGTCATTATGGGCTTGAGGCAGATTTCCCAGAGGCTCACATACACCATGGCTGGTCTTTTCCCTTTAGGTCCTGAGACAATAGGAAAATCCTGGGTAAGAATCCAAGTAACACTTTGATTCCAAAAAACATATTTCTCTTCTTCCTTTTCCAGCCTCTTCACTGTCTCTCTCCTCTCCTCTCTCTCCTCTTCTCTTCCTTAGCTTCTTCTTGTTAAGTTCCATCTGTAAGAAAAAGGAACCCAGGGACAAGTTAAGCTCAGGAGAGGACACAGCAACCAGCCCCTGAGCTAAGACCACCCTCCAACCCCACAGCAGAAAAGATCAAGAGCAGAGGGCACAGAAGGATCTGCCTCTCCTCCTCTCCCCCGTGGCAGACAAAAGCAGGTGCACTGTGTGGACCTCAAGAGGGTACGAGGGAGGTGACACAAGCCACGCCAACCAGAAGACCACACCTGGGCATGCGAGGGACCACTGAAGGACAGCCTGAGAGCTGCCGCTGAGCTTCATTTCCGGCGTTAAACAAGCACTAGGTCATCTCTTGGCAATGGAGAAACCTACCCGGCCACTGATGATGCGCTTTTAACGAGCTCATATCAGAAGCGAACGCAATCACCATCCTAGCTCACAGCTAGCACCGAGGCTCTAGGCAAAGGTCAGAACAGCTCTCCCAGGGCCACGTGACTGAGGGTTCCGGCCTCTGCTTGCTGGGTGCCCACCTACTACAAGGAGGCAGGCACGAGTCATGACCCTATTTGAAGGAGGTCTTTGCTCCTCCTTCTGTGCTCAACTCCCAGTCAGCTCCCTCCAAGGCACCCGCTACAATTGCAACCATTCACTCACCTGCTGGTTTACTGCTTTACCTGTCCGCCTTGCCAGATGCTGCAGCTGACAGCGCTGGGTCACCTGCCGCCTCTGTAGACAGTTCACACACACACCACGGCTCCTGCCTGCAGCGCCTGCCACTCAACCAGAGGATGCCCCAAAACGAGGAGTGCACCAGTTAGGGCTGAAGTCCTGGAATCAGAGGGTGATGCCTCCAGCAGCCACTCTTAACAGATGACAGGGGTTGATGGGTGATACCTGGCCAAGGGGTGCAATTATCCTGTTGTAGGAAAATCCCAAAAAGAAATCACCTTGCATAGTCACCCGAGGTCCTGGTGTGATTGAGCCTTGGGAAATGCCACTTGTTGTCACAGCTTCTCTGTGTCCCTGCCCCCTCTTTAGTAAGTAATGTTCCTCCCACATTACTTACTTCACTCAAATCCCTGTCTCAGAGTCTGCCATGGAAAACCCAAACCTAGACTGCCCATAAGCTCCAGAACAGGGCTGGGTCTGGCCTGGGGTTGCTGCATGCCAGGGCCCCGCACACTCCTGGTGCAGAGCCAGTGCTTGGTGAAGGTCTGCAGCAGGGGAACAGGCAATAAGATGGAGGAGTCTCAACCATATGCCTGTTGACTGACAGGGTCTCCTGGGAGAAACTCAGCTCTTCCCCATTCGCTCCACATTAGATCTGGAGTCCTCTCCCCAGTCCTGTGCCCACACTCAAGGCCTGATCCAAGGAAGACTGGCTGGGAGCATGTCATCCACTGTAACCTCAGTGCTCAAGAGGAAATAACGGCGCCCCAACAACAGACTCTCACAGCCCAGCCCTGGGACTGTCCTCCTGCAGGAAGAGGCTGAATATTTTTAAAAATACAAGAGGAAGAGGCTGAGGGATTTACAAACCTGTTTCGTCCACTGGTTTCAACGAAAGCGTGGAAATGAATGTCACTGAGCTGCCACCCTGGAACTGCTTTGTTTGTGCTGGGTTTTCACTGATGAAGGCCAGGAGAAGTGGCAGTGTGGCTGGGGCACGTTGGAGACTCTGGCATGTTGGCTGCAGCAGCCATCTGTGTGGACCCAGTACCTCCAGTCCATCACCCTGAGTGGAGGGTTGCAGCATGCTTGTCTGATTACTGACTCTTCTTCTAGCTCACTCCCCTAAACACACTAATAACCAGACATCCTGAGATCGGTCGGAGAAATGCTCATGAAAGAGTGGAGGAAGAAGAGAAGGAGGAATCAGAAGTGAGAGGGTTCAACAATGAAGAAGACCCATCCATCGCAGACACTGGCCACCACATGCATTAAATCAGCCCTTCCTGGACACAACAAAGGCCACTATCCTAAGTTCAGCTCCCTGGAGAGACAGGAAATGCCAAATGCTGAGACATTTTTTTCCTAAACTACAATTATAGTCAAGTCTTTTGTCTGCCAAAGGGGAAAGTATTCTGCAGTGGTTTATGCTCTTCATCCTCTCACACACTTAGAGGAACTTTCAGTACATACTTCCCATACTGCTGAGAGTACATCATAGGTTCTGGTCCTGAGGGCTCCTGTCTTTCATTTCAAGTAGGAGGTAAATTTTAGAGTGCCCTGGCCAAGGAGGGAGCCCATTCAGATGGTTGCAGGAAGGTGGGGGGCCTTCGAATTTTATTTTTGGTTTACATAATACTTAAGATGCATGCACCTAACAACAGAGGATCAAAACACAGGAAGTAAAAACTGATAGAACAGCAAGGAAAATATAAGCTATATAAAATTCTTTACTACATTAATGGTTGGAGACTTCAACACTCCTCTATCAGTAATTGGTAGATCTACTGGGCATAAAATCAGTCAGGATATAGTAAGGAACAGCAATATTTATCTCTGGATCTAACTGACATCTATAGAGTACTTCAACCAACAACAGCAGAATACATATTTTTCTCAAGATCACATGGAACATTCAACACATATACCATATTCAAGGCCATAATGCATATGTTAACAAATGTAAAAGAATAGAAATTATACAAAATATATTCTCAGAGCACAGTGGAATTAAACTAGAAGTCAAAAACAAAAATCTACCAGAAGCTGAAAAAAATCCTTAAATATATGGAGATTAAGCAATGTACTTCTATTTTACAAAAGAATTTAAAAAGTCTCAAGAAAAATTAAAAAGTATTTTTAACTTAATGAAAATGAAAATACAACTTACCAAATGTGTGGAATGCAGTGAAAACAGCACTTAGAGGAAAATATGTAACATTAAATTCATTTGCTAGAAAAAAAGGAAGGGCCGGGCGCAGTGGCTCAAGCTTGTAATCGCAGCACTTTAGGAGACTGAGACGGGTAGATCACCTGAGGTCAGGAGTTCGAGACCAGTCTGGCCAACATGGTGAAACCCTGTCTCTACTAAAAATATAAAAATCAGCTGGGCATAGTGGTGCACACCCGTAGTCCCAGCTACTTGGGAGGCTGAGGCAGGAGAATCGCTTGAACCTAGGAGGTAGAGGTTGCAGTGAGCCGAAATGGTACCATTGCACTCTAGCCTGGGCGACAGAGTAAGACTCTGTCTCCAAAAAAAAAAAAAAAAAGAAAAGAAGGAATATCTTAAATCAATCATCCAATCTTCCAACCTAGGAAATTAGAAAAAAAGAAGGGCAAATTAAATCAAAAGTAGATATAAGAAAATAAATTTTAAAATTAGAGAATAATTCAATAAAATGGAAAGTAAGAAATCATTAGAAAAAATAAATGAAACCAAAAGCTGATTCTCTGAAAAGATCAATAAAATCAGTAAACCTCTATTCTGGCTAAGTGAAAAAGAAAGAGATACAAATTGCTCATACGATAAATAAAAGAAAGGTAATCACTGCTGATCCCATGAACATTAAAAAGATAATAAAGAAATATTATAAACAATTATATGCATACATTTGATAAGTTGGATGAAATGGATAATTTTTCTGAAAGACACAAATTACCAAAACTCACAAAAAGAGAAATACATATTCTAAGTAGGTCTATATCTACTCAGGAAATTAAATCAATAACTAATAGCCCTCAAAAAAAAAAAAAAACAAAGCACTAAGCCCAGGTTATTTCACTGGTTGCTTCCACCAAATCATTTAAGGACAAAATAATACAAATTCTCTAAAGTCTCTTCCAAAATATAAAAACAAAGGGAATTCTTCCTAATTCATTCTATGAGGCCAACATTACTGTACTACCAAAACTAGATAAGAACATTACAAGAAAGGAAAAATACAAACCAGTATCTCTCATGAACACAGATGCAAAAATCATCATCAAAATATTAGCAAATTAATCCAAAAGTGTATAAAAAGAATTATGCCAGGGACAATAGCTCATGTTTGTAATTCCAACAACTCAGGAGGTTAAACTGGGAAGACTGCGTAAGGCCAGGAATTAGAGACCAGCTGGGCAACATAGAAAGACCCTGTCTCTAAAAATAAAAATAAAAATAAATTAAATAGCCAGCCATGGTGCTGTATGCCTTTAGTCCCACTACCAGGGAGGCTAAGGCAGGAAGATCCTTTGAGCCTAGGAGTTCATGACTCCTAGCTATGACTAGAGCTATGACTGTGCCACTGTACTCCAGCCTGGGTAACAGATTTAATCCCAGGTATGCAAGCCTGGTTCTACATTTAAAAATCAATTAATGTGGCCAGGCACAGTGGCTCATGCCTGTAATCCCAACACTTTTGGGAGGCCAAGGCAGGTGGATCACTTGAGGTCAGGAGTTCAAGACCAGCCTGGCCAACATGGTAAAACCCCATCTCTACTAAAAAGATACAAAAATTAGCTGAGCATGGTGGCAGGTACCTGTAATCCCAGCTACTCAGGAAGGCTGAAGCAGGAAAATTGCTTGAACCCAGAAGGCGGAGGTTGCAGTGAGCCAGGATCATGCCACTGTACTCTAGTCTGGGCAACAGAGCGAGACTCTGTCTCAAAAAAAAAAAAAATCAATTAATGTAATCTATCACATAGAAAAGAAGAAATCATATTGTCATATCTTCAAATGCAGAAAAAATGACAAAATCTGACACCCATTCAAGATAAAGAAAAAAATCCTCTCAGAAAACTAGGAATAGAGGAAGACTTTCTCACCTTGATAAAGAACATCTACAAAAAACCCACAACTCCACAAAACAACCAGAAAACAACAAAATGGCAGGACTAAGTTCTTACTTATCAATAATAACATGGAATGTAAATGGACAAAACTGTCTAATAAAAAGATATAGAGTGGCTCATTGGATTAAAAAACAAGACCTACAATAAACACATTTAATCTATAAAGACAAACATAGACTGAAAATAAAGAAATGGACAAAGATATTCCATGCCAGTGGAAACCAAAAAAGAGCAGGAGTGGCTATGCTTATATCAGACAAAATAGATTTCAAGATAAAAACTATCAGAAAAGACAAAGAAGCTCACTATATAATAATAAAGGGGTCAGTTCAGCAAGAAGATATAAAAATTATAAATACATATATACTTAACATTAGAGCACCCAAATACATAAAGAAAATATTATTAGAGCTAAAGAAAGAGATAGGCCCCAAAACAATAACAGTTCCCTTACTTTCAACACTGGATAGATCTTCCAGACAGAAAATCAGCAAAGAAACATCAGACTTAACCTGCACTACAGAAAAAATTGACATAGGAAGTAGAGGTCATTTTGTTAAGTGAAAATTGCTCCCATGTTTTCAGGTATCTTTATAGCAATGCCCCACATCTCTGGTACCAATTTTCTGTATTAGTCTGTTATCACACTGCTGTAAAGAACTACCTGAAACTGGGTAATTTATTTTAAAAAGAGGTTTAATTAACTCACAGTTCTATAGGCTATGTAGAAGGCATGACTGGAGAGGCCTCAGAAAACTTACAATCATGATGGAAGAGTGAATGGGAAACAAGCGTGTCTTCACAGGGTGGCAGGAGAAAGAGAGAGAGTGAAGGGGAAGTGCTACACACTTCAAACAATCAGATATCATGAGAAGTCACTCACTATCACAAGAAGAGCAAGGGGAAAATCTTCCCCCATGATCCAATCGCCTCCCACCAGGTCCCTTACTCAACACAGGAGATTACAATTCAACATGAGATTTGGATGGGGACACAGAGTCAAACCATGTCACCCATAAATGTATACACCTACTATGTACCCACAAAAATTAAAAATAAATTTTTTAAAAGCCTACAGCTAACTTCATACTTAGTGATGAGAAACTAGATGCTGTCCCGTTAATTTTGGGTAAAAGGTAAGAATGTCCCCTGTCACCACTCCTATTCAATATCATACTGGAAGTCCTAGTCAATGCAATAAGAAAAGAAAAGGCATACAAATTGGGAGGGAAGAAATAAAACTGTCTTTGGTTGCAGACGAAATGATTGTCTACGTAGAACATTTCAAAGCATCAAGAAAAACTCCTGGAGCTAATACACCATCATAGCAAGGTGGCAGGACACAGGAGTAATAAGCAAAGTTAATTGCTGCCTTATATGGCACCAATGAGTAAACGGGATTTCAAATTAAAAATATGACACCATTTACATTAGCACAAATAAATGAAATGTTTATACCTAAATCAAATGTTTAGGTATAAATCTAAGAAAATGTGTACAGAATCTATATGAGGGAAACTATAAAACTTTGATGAAAGAAATCAGATATCTAAATAAATGGAGAGATATCCAAGTTCATGAATATGAAGACTAAATATTGTTAAGATGTCAATTCTTCCTAACTTAATCTATAGATTCAAAACTATCCCAATCAAAATCCCAGCAAGTTGCTTTGTGGATATCAACAAAGTAATTCTAAAGTTTGTGTGGAAAGGTAAAAGACTCATAAAAGCCAACACAGTTGCATTGGCTGAAATAGAACAAGGCTAGAGGACTGACATTACCTAATTTCCAGACTTGCTATAAAGCTGCAGTAATAAAGACAAAATGGTATTCATGAAAGAAGAGACACATAGGTTAATGGAACAGAACAGAAAGCGTAGGAGTGGACCTACATAAATACATTCAACCGATCTTAACAAAGACACGAACAAAATTTACTGGAGACAGGACGGGTTTTTCAACAAATCTTGAGGGAATAATTAACACCCACAGTCAAAAAAATTACATTACACTTTACCCAAAAAATAACTCAAGATGAATCATAGACTTAAATGTAAAACACAAAACTATAAAACTTCTAGACGATAATTTAGAAGGAAATCTAAATGATCTTGGATTTGGTGATGACTTTTTAGATACAACCCCAAAAGCACAATCCATGACAAAAATAACTGATGTTAGACTTTATTAAAATTAAAAACATCTGCTCAGTGATATACATTGTTAAGATTATGAAAAGACAAGCCACAGACTGGGAAAAAATATTTGCAAAGCACAGATCTGTTAAAGGTCTTGTATTCGATACATAGAAAGAACTCTTAAAATTCAGCAAGAAAACAAACAACCCAGTTTTTAAGTGGGCAAAAGATCCAAACAGACACTTATGAAAGAAGATATCCAGATGGCAACAATATTATGAAATGATGCTCAACATCATATGTCATTAAGGAACTTCAAATTAAAACAATGAGATTACACGCCAAACACAATGATGAAAACCCAAAACACCCGCAACACCAAATGCTGATGGAATTGTGGAACAACAGGAACTCTCATTCACTGCAGGGAATGCAAAATGGTACAGCTAGCTTGGAGAACGGTGTGGCCACTTGTTACAAAGCTAAACAGAGTCTTACCATGTGGTCTGGCAATCACACACCTTGCTGTTTACTCAATTCAGTTGATAATTTATGCCCTCACAAGAACCTGCATAGGAATGTTGATAGCAGCTTTTTCCTAGTAGCCAAAAACTGAAAGCAATCAAGATGCTCCTTCAATTGGTGAATATATAAATAAATCCAGGCAATGGAATATCTTTCAGTGATAAAAAGAAGTGAGTTATCTAGCCATGAAAAGATGTGGAGCAACCTCACATGCAATGCATGTTGGTAAATAAAAGACACTAAAGTGACATAAGTGTCATACTTATTGTATGATTCCAAATATGGGACATTTTGGAAAAGGCAAAACAATGAAGATAGTAAAAAGATCTGTGGTTGCCAGGAATTTGGAGGGAGGAAGAGACGGATGAATAGGCAGAATGCAGAGGACTTTTAGGGCAATGAAACTGTTGTATATGATGCTATAATGGTGGATACATAACATTATACATTTGTCCAAAACCACAGAATGTAAAACACAGCCAGGCATGGTGGCTCATGCTTGTAATCCCAATGCTTTGGGAGGCCAAGGT